TGATCTGGGTTTTCAAATATTCATCAGAGGCAGAGCTGGCTCTGCCATTAGGCAGGCTGTGGCAGCTGCCTCAGGCAGCAGCCCCACAAACACCCTGCCACTGGCACAGAAGTGGAGCCGGCTCAAATGGTGTGGGAATCTTGTTGAGCTCACAAATACTCATAATCCTGCAGAGAGACCACTGGGTGGTAAGTACTAAGATTTAAAAGGCTGGCGCTGCTCTTCCACTTACAATTGCAGTGCAGATCAGCAGCTGCCCTTTGATTGTACAAGAATACCTGCTACCTCTTTTGTGGGGCTGGTTAGGAATATTTCCTCCTTTGGTCAGGGAGTTTGTGGCGAGCATCTACTCTGCACTGCACTCAGGAGATTAGGTAGTAATATATTCAAGCTTTAGCAGTTAGTCCTCGCTGGCGGGGTCAGTGCAGGTAAAGAGGGTGGTATAATTAAAAGGAAACTGGTAAGCACCCCAAGGCATCAGATGAGTGGCAATGGGGGTTTCCATAGACCAGATTCTCAAGTCCAATGTGCTTTGGGGAAATGGGACCGCCTTGGGAATGTCTCAACTCACTCACTCAAGGCTAAGGGGTTGTGAACTGTGACGATGACAGGACTCCCACAGTGTAGCAGATGTAGCTGGGAAGGATAGGTGCTATGGCTGATGGAAAAATTCCATACCAAATAGCCAACCCCAATGGGGATTGAAATTTAGGTTTAAATAGGGTTCTTGCCTCTATGCAGCTACATTTGTCATCCTTATATATCACCGAAATGCTCCTTCAGACTACAGAACCTTTTAAGGCAGTGTAGCACCACCTGGGTGAAACAGAAAGCTTTGTTTCTCCACCATGGCTGGGATTAAGCTGACCTTATTATCCCACAACATTCCCTAAAACATCCTTTAAAAAGTGCTCAGCAGGAACAGCAAACAACAACAACAACAGACCTTTGGAAGGAAGCCCTAGATTTCCTAGGAGAAGTTCAATACCAATAATGGTATTAGACATTTAAAGATTTGTAAACATGGAGAACCTGGTTTGCTTCACCATTCCCAAGAAACAATTTCCCCTTCCAGTTTATGTGCTACCGTGGCAAAAGTGGTTCAATGAGCAGGTGCCTTCTGCACCTTTGTGTCTGAACAACAACCTACTGATGCAAATTCGGCTTTGAATGCAGCAAGCTACACAGGTTAGTCCACTGATTAGCTAGATATAGCTGGGAAGGCTTTTAATAAGACATTTAAGTCAGGAAGCTTCCAATGTAAACACACACAAAGTGCTGTTTTCAGCAACTCCTTCTACCTGGGGGCATATTTTGATCTCAGTCTGCATGCAAAATGAGAGTGGAACATGCCCTCAATCTTTCTCTTTTCCTTACCTTAAAAAAAAAAGTTTTAACAAATGTGTCCAGCCAATTTCAGAGTTCAGCAGCATGGGAAACATTTCACCTTTTAATCCTCCTTACACAGATGTGAAAAGATTTTGAAGTCAAGGCCAGCTGCCTCTGGGTTGGCAGATGAAAGAAGAGAACTATTTTGGTTAGAGTTTTTCTGACCCATGCAGAGAACATCTCAAAGTCGCAAGTAGTTGGTGTCTAAATAGTCCAAGACCAAGTTTGGAATCTCCCAAACTGTTTCATCATCATCATCATCATCATCATAAATGGAAGGCAAAAGTCTTGATGATGAAATATAAATAAATCAGTAGATCTACATTAATCTAATCCATCTGTCTACACAATCCTTTAGGCTCTTTTTTAAAGGTGGCACAAGTTTGTTTCATGAGTTTGTGAGAGTTCACTATTCTTGCACACTCTTCAATGCACACTCTTTTGTGGGAGCCTGAGTGGATGATGAACCTCCCCCACACTCCTCCTCTTCTTCTTCTTCTTCTTCTTCTTAATTTGCTGTACATTTTCTATTTTTGTATTTCCAGAAACAGATTTTTTGTGTGCAGACTTCCCAACCTTACCTTCCGTGGCATTCATAACAAACCTGGCTTTTGCTTCATATTGGTTTGTTATTTCACTCTAGTTTTTCTCCTTCTGGTCCTTCGCTGTGTTTAACTGTTGTTTGTAGAATTACCCCTACTTGTAGGTTGATTTTTTTAAAAAATTTCCCCAAAGCTGTCCCATTCACCCTTTTGCTTTTTTGTTTTTCCCATCTTGACTTCCTATTTTGGCTGTAAGATTTGCGAGTTCTGCAAATTCTGTTAGTTTGTGCAGCCATTGTTCTTTACCCTTCCCCCAACACTTCTACTCATACCTTCTTTCTATGTGTCTTCATGTATGTGTATCTCACTTGCATAGTTTGGTGGTATCCTCCTTAGGCATGGGAGAATCCACTGCTGTCTGTGTATGCAGAATTTTCTTATGATTCGGTAGCAGCTGAAAAGAGCAGATGTTAAGTAGGTGCAAGCCCTACCAGCTGACTCTTGTGTGAGTTTGAGCTGTGGTCTAGGCAACCCCTTGGGCAACCTTGAGAAGTAATTTTTTAAAAGATACAATAAGGAGAAAACAGAGATGTGGCTAGTGCTCCACATATCCTGCAAAGTAACACAGAGAGATAAAGACTGCAGACTGTACAAACTCATTGTGGAGCAAATCATCTGGCACGGATAACAGCAACACATGTCTAGTTGGTTGGTTTTCTAAAGGAAAAATGCCTAAGAAATAATAGAGAAGAGGGACTGAGCACCTAGTGGGTGTGGAAACATTTAATCCTGATTCAGAGAAAACAGAAACGTACTCCATTCACTATTTATTTAAGGCATGTGCTATACCACTTAATTATTTCCATTCCTAAATTGTACGTATAAAAGCAGTCCACAGAAAATGAAACAAAACAACAACAACAAAAATTCGTCATAAAACCAAACCCTACCCCAAAATGCCTGCTGCGACAAGAAAGCCTTAATCATGATCTTGAGGTTCAGCAAGGGGGGGTGCCTGTCTAATCTCAGCTAGCAGGGAGTTCCACAGGCTTGGGCCCATGATGCCTCACCAAATGCACTGCTCCTAGTAGTTAATATTTAACAGAAAGCACAGGAGAGCAGGCCAGGAACGGCTCCTCAGAGCTTCTCCTTGGTGGCAAATGGTGTGTTCCGCAGTGCGCATGGAAATGAATATTTTTGTGTTGAAGTGACAGGCTAGTATCCAATAATAAGTGTTTAATTGAGGCAAATTGGAAGTGGTGCCTGTGCAAAAATGCAGGTACATTATTAATACATAAGTGCTTGCATACTCAGATAATCTGCTAATTCAGGCAAAGCTAGCTGCATAGGAGTCTCCCTCGCTTTCAGTTTCATGCCAAAGAGCAGAGCTGGAAGTGTGATACACGAGGCAGCATGGATGTGTTTGTCCCTCCTCAGTTCAGCCTATGAAGCCCTCAGAGCTCGACACCCCCTGCATCTTGTGTGCAGACAGCTGGGGTAAATTCTGTGCTGCTCTGCTGGAAGCAGGTGTTCAAAATGAGCAGAACTTGAGATGCCTCCCCATCAAAATAAAATAAAAAAAATGTAGGAGGATGTATGGTGAGTATCTGCTCCCTGATGCTTTGCCATTCTGGGCCGCCTCAGTGTAAGAGGCATGCTGTAGCTGCTCCCATTTTGAAAAACTACTTGACATGACCCCATTGGCTTTGCAAATGCCCCCAAGCCTGACCACGCATCCTTTCCGCAGTCTCTCTTTTGGAGCCTGTGGGCTGAGGGGTATGCGGCCAGCCTAAGTCCACCTAGGAAGGCATTTAGCATTCCATCTGCAGAGTGTGGTCCCAAAGCTGTGAAGCCTGGCATCACGACTCTTATCGTCCACAATGATATCAGGAAATTGTGAGTTACTATGGTAACAATATCTTCTTTTTTTATATAAAAAAGAGAGACTAATAAAAGTAGCAAGAGGGTGAGCAAGAGGATTAAGAATATAGATTTCCTTTGAAACAAAACATCACAGCAAAACTCAGCTGGCTCTGTGCAATACGGCGGACTGGAGAGAGCACAGGAGGCGAACGGGCTTCTCTGGCAAAGGGAGGTGCATCGTAGGGAAAGAAAAAGAACGCTTAATGTAAAAGGGAGCCTTTGAGACAAAAAAGGGGGCTTGTTTTCAGCTCAGTGATAATATTATGTGGTGGACAGAGAGATGTAGAGAGAGAGGGGTGTACAGCGCTCCCACTGGTGTGGAGCTGTTTGCTTGCTCACTGCACAGAGTGATCCTTTCCACGCAGACATGCAGAAGAAGAGAGCATGTGCATCGTAGTCTCAAGGTGTCAGGAACAGATGTTACTCTCAGTGTTGCCACCCCAGGAGTGACTATGAATGAACCCACACTCTACAGTGAGAAGCCGGAAGAGCACAGGAAACGAATGAAGGGGAAATCGAAAGGTTTGCCCCAAAAGTTGTGAGCCCAGTCTTTTGTGCTGACCCAGGGCACTTTGCTACAATAAGCTGAACATCAAATGATGCCAGCTGCCTCCCTCTGTGCTAGGGCCATAGTGATTTACTTCGCTATTCAGACATCAATTCCTGCCTCAATCATCCCCCTAAATTTTTCCGCCTGAAGCATTCTGCTTCATCTTGCTGCATGACAGAGGCGGCCCTGCAAGTCTTCTATACAGCCAGGGCTGTAACTCCACCACTGCATTGAATGAGTATCGAACTTGATCCTAGGCCCCTCATTTGACATTTGGGAATCTTAGTCTTCTTTAAAAACAACAACACAGAAGCAATTTTCTAGCCCTGGTGACTATGCTGATAGACAAGAGTGTGGAGGCAATGTCTGGTGGAATCTCAAAATTGACAGTGCAGTGCTGGAGTGGCTATTGGCAGGGCAGGAGAGCAAGGCTGGCCCTTTAATTTCCACATGATTGTCAGAGACAGAATGAAGTCTGTGGGGGGGAAGCTTCTCTTATTTGCATATGTAAATATTTTGCAGAATTCTGCTTTCTTGTGATTTGTTTGTTTAAGCGGATAGTATGCACAGACTTTTCTCTAGTATTAAAAGTCAGCTTGTGTATTTCTTTCTTTTGTTTATTCGCTACAAAGAAGCGCAGTGTGTTTGAAGAAACCACCGGGAGAGTATATCTTTGCAGGGAAGACTTGTGAAGGAGATTAGTTCCAATGGGGGTTGTGGATGCCACCCCACTAAACAAAAAGCAAATGCCACTGGAAAGTTGAGAGCTCAGAAGCTCTTGATGCATAAAGTGTCCACTATTCCTTCTTTCTTGGTTCCTGTCTCCTTTAACGACAGAAACCCTGAGGCCTCCCCGCACCATTTTGCGGTAGCTTTCTCACAAGTGAGGCAGCCAGAAGGCAAGAGTTATGGCTCTGTAGGACAGGCTGAACTCTGAGCTGCAACTAAACTGCATGCCTTTTGGTCTGTGGGTTTTGCAGAGGAGGCTGGGTGTCTCTGCCAGGTCTTGTAGGAATAGTTCTAATCTGTATTCATAGTAACACACTGTTTATGCACCACCTGCTCTAGAGCCCTTATGGCTTTTCTAGCTTCAGCTTGAGTAGGTAGGCTGTGAAATGCACTATGTGTGTGTATGTGCCAGCCCCTCCTTCACCAGAATAGGAAGGCATTGGTGGTGATGGCAATCAGAAGCTGGCCATGCAGGAGAAACAGGGGCAGGAGCAGTCGGAAGGATGAAGGAAATGGCATCTCTCTCTCTTTCTCTCTCCCCACCCTATCCTCACATACAGAATAAAAGTTGACAGCGACCTGTAGCCTACTTCTCTTGTTCAGACATCCCACTGTAGGCTGTGCAATTAGATCTTCCCGAGGTTCTTCCTGATTGCAGGGCTAGGAGGGAAATGATAATGAAATTAGTCTTGACTGCGTTCAGAAACTTAGATGGTTGCTTGTTAGTTCTGCCGACCCGGCAGCCCGAATTTGGTCACTGGCATCACCTGTTGAATGCCTAACAGCACGGAGTGCAATTGAGTGAGCTTAATATAGCTTAATTTGCAGGATTAGTAGGATAGGTGGTGTTTCATTCATTCATTATAAGTGTTGGTGGTTTTTTTTCCCATTCTGCCTTTCAATAGTGTTCCCTAGCAATTTGTATAAAAATGACAATAAAACAATCAAGATATGAATGCAAACAGCATGCACGCTGTGGATCTTACTCAGGATTTAAGCAGGGTACATTGAAAGGTGGGTGGGACCCTTTATTAATTCCCTGTAACGGGTGCAGTTGAGAAAGAACTCAGCATGGTCTGTAGTCCCTTCCTCTGTGTACCACATCTGGTTGCTGGTGACATCACAATACATGACTCATTTACCAAGACCTGAGAACCTGGGCTAGAAATGCCTCTGCGCCAGCCATCTTGATCATTGGGAAATGTCTATGCTTCCTTCTTAGGACCATGGATTCATTATAGAATGCACAGATCTTTTCTTTTCTTTAAAAAATGCTGTTTCCCCACAGTGCTCTATTCATCTGCTGAAAGTCTCAACCTTGATGTTGCAAAAGTGTCTGGGTAGGCCTTTAGAAGAAACACAACACTGGGGTGGAGCAAATCCAAGTGACTTGTCCATAGGACTTTGACCAGGTTTCTTGGGCCCTAAATTATTGCCCAAGCAACCTGTGCAGCCTTAACAAGATGCACTCAGGGTGCATGTTCACAAACACACACTCCTCCACATACCATTGTATGCATGCTTATGGATGTACTGAGTGTTCATAAGGACAGTTCATATTTTACACAGTGAGCATATTTATAATGCAAACGCCAGCGCTTGCAGCAGTAAATGCAGCAAAGTGTTAAGTGGAGATTCCTAAATGAGCAGGAGACACATGTCAGGAAACTGCAGCCAATCCGGAATCCCCAGCATGTTTCCACTGCTGCCTGTCCCTGAATATTTTCAAATATGCATCTGCGCTTCACGATTTTATGCTGTTTACGGCTCCAAACACCTGGGTACATGTGACAAGCATTGGCTCTGTGCCACTACGGGGATTGCTAGTATAGAATTAGGGGTGGCAAACTGATTTTGTTTTAAGCAGGGGTAAATTATACATGACTGCACTCTTGTATATGTGCTGCTCGACTCACCTTTCATTGGGCACATTTCTAATTTCTCCTTCTCTTCATCTAACCCACTTTTTCCACCCTCCCCCTTCATAACAACTATGCTATTTCTTCTGTTTCCTCTCTACTCCCACATCATGACCTAATTCCCTTTCCTCATAACAATTGTTTGCTTAGGGCTGCTTTCCTGCTGTAAGAGGCCATCTCTGATTTGTCGGATACCAGATGCCCAGTGCTGGGAGACCTGCCTGTCCAGTGGAGGACTTAAAGAGGGGTTCTAGGCTGTGTTTTGTGTGTGGCTTCTGGTTTTGAGCAAATCCAAGGCACAGGGAAAAAAACCACCCCAACCATGTCCCTTTTGGCATGCACTGAGCTACCTCTCCCGTGACATTGCCGGGGTTTGACCCTGAGTATATTCATTTGGCACGGTCTCTGCCCAACATCCTCTCCGTCATTTTAGAGCAAGTACGTAATTTGGGCTGGTGCTTCAATTGGAATCTGATAGGAGGTGGAGTGGGGGCCAGGCATCTCTTACATGTCATTTCTCTAACGGTGACATGCTGGCTTTATCCAGCTTGTGATAACCCCCGGGCTAGGCACCGGGAACAGAATAGTCTCTCTATTCATTGATGTTTTCAGTTTGCTGCATTTTCCAGTTCAGATGATGTAGGCTGAGATCTCCGGTGCAGCTAATTATGCAGTATGTGTGTAAATGGAATGCATTGGCAGGGGGCAAAATTCCTAAGCCTTTGGCCCCCATGCTGAATTCTATGGCAACCCCCCCCCATACTGAGAGCTGCAACCACTCTTTTGCTCCCCCCCCCAGCCTCTTCTGCTTCTCCACCTCTCCCCTAAATCTTACCCATCACTTCTCCCACCCCAGCACACATAGAGTTCCCATCACTCACTCCCCATCGCACCTCACACAGATTGTCCTGTAGCCATGCCCTCCCCTCTCTCTTCTCAGGCCCTTCTCCTGTTGTGCGTATGACTGGGAGGGAGGAGGGCAAAGTTAAGGGCAAGTTTTCATCTTGGACTGCCTCGTCCTTGAAATGTCAGGGAACGAAAAGATTGAGAGCTGCTGGTAGGTCTTGTGTCACAGTTTGGTGGAATAGGTCCTGCCTGCAGGAAATGTTCAGTCCCAGAAAAGATGGCTTATCCTGAGCACCAGCATGCGCGGGAGATGGGAACTAGATTCAGGGAAATTGTGGTTTTTCTGAGTAGGAGGAGGCTCTGGAAAAAGCCTTTGCTTTTAACTTCCCTGCCTGGTATATCTGCTGTTTAGAAATTACAGAGAATTTCTTGAGAAACGGTGAATTAATTATACTGTGGTTGCTCTGCTTGCTTGTTCACTCACTGTAGATTTTGCCTTTGCTTATCTGCTCCGGAGTTCTGATTTCATAAGAGTGGAAGTGACTGCGACTGAGTTCTGGAGATAAGGGATAGATGTTTGGTGGCTGAACACTGCACAGCAGGCAATCAGATGCCAGGGACATCAGGCAAGGCAAAGCCAGCACTGACCACCCCGCTCCCCCCCCCCCCCAAAAAAAGAAAGCCTAGCAAAGCTAATCCCTAATACAGAGTTCGAAAATGAGCTAAAATAAGTTTCTGCAACTATCCAAGTTAAAATATTTTCTGGACTAGAGCAAGTACATAGGATGCTGGCCAACTCGCAGGGTGGGGGCATGGAGAAAGACTTCAGGTTAAGCCTCTGGCCCAGCATATGGGAAGCAGGGCAGAGTCCCTCAGAACAGACTTCATGGGTTAGGAAGACTCAGATTCAGGATGAGCTTTAAGCAAAAATAAATAAATTGCATTCACAACAGAAGGGCTATTCTAGTGCATGCTGGTCCAAAGGACTCCAAAAAATAAAAAGAGAGGACTTGCAGAGCATGGTACATAGGAAGCCTCTGCTCTTGCATTTATCCTTTCATTGAAGTGTGTGTTTGCATGCGTAGGTGCATTTCTAAACAGGGCAAAAGTGTTTGCCCATTCAGAGTGAGGGCATGAATCACTGACCACACTCTGAACTGGTTTTGTGACGCTGTTGCATAGATAAATCAGAGAGCCAGTGTGGTGTAGTGGTTAAGAGCGGTAGTCTCATAATCTGGGGAACTGGGTTCGCGTCTCCGCTCCTCCACATGCAGCTGCTGGGTGACCTTGGGCCAGTCACACTTCTTTGAAGTCTCTCAGCCCCACTCACCTCACAGAGTGTTTGTTGTGGGGGAGGAAGGGAAAGGAGAATGTTAGCCGCTTTGAGACTCCTGAAGGGGAGTGAAAGGCGGGATATCAAATCCAAACTCTTCTTCTTCTTCTTCTTCTTCTACCTGCAGGGCATGACACCATAACGCTACTGCTAACGAAAACCATTACTGTATGGGATCACCCATGCAGAGTAAAGATTGAAAGTATTGCCCTCACTCTGACCTGACTTTTCTGACATAATCCCATGGCCCTTTTGATTGGTTACAGGGCATTTTAAGTGATCCCTGCTTGGGTGGGATCAAGTTGCCAGCAAGAAGGGGGAAAAATTAGAAGGAAAAATGAGACTTCAACAGTTGCCAACAAACAATAAAAATTTGGGGGGGGGGACCATGAAAATGGTTGGCCCAGTCATGTTTTCTGGGAGCACTGAAGGGTCCCCATGACCTCCTTTCAAACTCCCCCTTCATATTTAACATGGCCCTATATAAAACTAAGATATGGACCAAGCAGTCTACCCTAACTGGTTATGTGTGCATGAAAAAGAGAAGCTGATCTCTTGTACTTAAGAGTGCTACATGTCCCAGATAAAACAGCTGGGCAACATCTCCATCCTAACCAAATAGGGCTGCTTCATTGATCCAACCTATGGCAACGGAGCCCCAAACTGAGACAGAGCCAGTGAAATGTAAATGTAAAATCTGGGTCCCAGCAATTGGACACAGTTGGGTGAATCTGAGGCATGATTCATATGGCACAGTCTGCTTGTCATCTCCAGCACCTTGTTCTTATCCTTCTCTGGTAACATTTACATGGCTGAATCACATGGGGACATTACCATACAGGTCCCAGATTGAGGGAAATTGGGGTGCGAGTGCTGGCTCACATACCTACAATATCCTAGCAACTACAATTGATTCAGCCATCTGAAAAAACCTCAGAAAACCCCACAGAACCGCAGTCAGAGGGAGCCTGCCAGGCCATCTACTGCAACCCACTGGGGTGGAATCTACAAACATATTTTTAAAAAAATCTGATTTTTTTTTAAAAAAAGCATTTTCAAAAATACATTGAATTGTCCATAAGGCTCCCCATTGCCACCTAGTGTCACATTGTATATTGCACTTAAAATGTTTTATTTGCAGCTGTAGAGCTGAGTCCTGGGGCTCATGGCAGGAAGCCCATAGCTAGATCGTTCCCAACAGATCGTTCCCAACAGATAGCTGCATGGCCTCTGCTTGACTGGTTCTAGTGTCAAACCATTAAGAGGTTTTCTCCTAATGTTCACCCAAAATCTATCCCCCCTGGAATTTCAGTGGTGGCTGGTGCACCTTGGGATGGGTGGGGTAGAAAGCAGGGAGGGCAGCAGCAAGCGGAGCCAGAGCCAATGGGGGGGAAAGCCACTTGATTCTAGGTCTGCCCTTATCCTCCTCCATGCTGAGATGTAGCACTGAGCCTAAGGAAGAGGGAGCTGGCAGCTCTGGACTGGTTTTGAGTAAGAAAGCAAATAGGTAGAGGCTGGCTGAGGGCAAAGTGAGGTTGTTGGGGGCAGCGCCCCATTCTCCCCTGCAGGCTAGATTCCACTCTGTAACTGAAGCCCATTAGACCTAGTCTTGCCTTGTGGGACATCCCTAGGCGTGACACTCCGCTAGCATAGAAACCAGGCCTGAATAGTAGGGCAGGGAAGGGGGCAGGATTTCAATTTGTTGCAGAATTTGGAACAAACCTCCCTAATCTGCATTTGATGAACCATGCTTAGATTGGAGCGTAGGCATGTGGATTAAATAGCATGCCCACAAACCTTTCCAGAGCACACTGTCAGTCCAATTTCCTTTTGGATGCGGTGGGTCCAAGGCCTTCTTCCCTGGTTCTGTCTTTCTTAAAAACAGTACTTTATAGCTGCTTTTAGCACATGCCACATTTGCTAAAAACAAACAATCAAAAACCTTTGAATGAAAAGCCCTTG